TTTCTCATGTGAATTAAGCCGCTGGTGACTTCCCTCTGCCTACGAACCAGGGATGACAAATGCCTTGTTTTCAGACAGAGGACATCGTAGGATTACTGTAATGTTAGTTATGTGACAGCACATGGTTTGGTCTCCCTTGGATCCAAGGTATAATTGTTCTAGTTTTTAGTATTTTCTTCTGTGTTTTCTATTAAGATTTTTCTGTTTCTTTCCGTCACAATTATTGGGCCATTTATTTGTGTTTTGTTTTGGTTTTGTGTGTTTTTCTGTATAGGAAATCCTGAGGGTCCTGATGTTGTTAGGAAATGGGGAAATAACAACCACAAGTACACGGAAGAAGAAATGTACTGGAATTTATTGTTGTGATAGTTGAAAAACTCTTATGAATGTGATTGAAGTACTGAAGTATATGATATGTGAATTGTATGTTAGTTAAAATTGTTTTAAAAATTGAATAAGCATAAATATAATAAAGTGAATATATGTATATAATGTAGCTGTTGATATGTATATAAGTAGTTGTATATCTATTTATATATATAAATAGATATATAAAGAGAGAGAGAGATAACATATATATGTAACATAAGTATAGTCATGTGCCACATAGCATTTGTTTAGGCAACATCCAACCACATATGTGTCTGCAGCCTCATAAAGTTAAAATAGAATTCAAAGATCCTGATTGGAGAACATGAGGGAAGCCAGTTCAAAGCCAAAGAAACCCCCACAGTGTGAATGGACTACTTCCACTGAAAGTGCAGTTCTGATGACTTGTGAGAAGGCCCTGTACCAGGGATGGAGGAATTCCTCCTGGTGTGGATTGAAGACCAAACACAAAGCGAAACCCCACTCAGGACATTGCTCATCACACCGACGCATGGCAATTGTGCCGAGTGCAGGACGAGACTATGATTTACGGTTTAGTGCTAGCTCGAGGGGATTCAAGCCCTTCAAAAGTGTGTCTGTGTGTGCACTCTGTACGAGGGAATGGTGACTTTACAAATGCTGACTTATAGGCAGCAGAAGACTTTACTGAAATCTTGGATAAAGCAGATAGTCTCACAATGTCCAGGGCACCTAAAATCCTGCTTTACAAGGTGCGTCATGGACGTTTCCCACTGCATGACTCTATATGCACATAAATACACAGAGGCCTGATGTCTCTATTGTTACATGACCCAGAGTAGGAAAGAATAAACTGTATTTCTATCTGATTATTGATGTGGATGTTGCTGTTTATGAGATGTGGCTGGTTTTTCTCAGGTGCCATCACGTCAGTTCCAACTCATAGCCTTTTTGTACACAAGGCTATGTGTACAAAAAACACTTCCCAGTCTTGCGCCATCGTCACAACTGTTATGCTTGAGCCTAGTGTTGCAGCTACTGTGTCGATGCATTTCTCCTTGAAGTTGTCTTCTGTTTTTGCTGACCTGTACTTACCAAGCTTGATGTCCTTTTCCAGAGACCCCTCTCTCTTGATCACTTGTCCAGAGTCCATGAGAGGAAGTCTTGACATCCACGCTTCTCAGGTGCATCTATCCGGCTCTCCTTCCTCCAAGACAGTTTTGTTTGTTCATCTGTTAATCCATGGTACCTTCCCTATTCTTCACACACATCATAGTTCAAAGGCATTGCTTGTTCATGGTCTCTCTTATCCATTGTCCAACTTTTACATACCTATGAGGCAATTGAAAATATAGTGTCTTGAATCAGGCACACCTTATTCTTGCCAGTGACTTCTTTATTCTTTAATACTTTGAGGTCTTTTTACAGAAGATGGAGCAATGTTCATGGAAGCAGCAGTCAGTGAATCAAATGACATGTTGCATTGAGCACATCTGCTGTGCCGTCCCCTTTAAGCAAGGACGCCACTTTAAAGAGTAAGGTGTACTTGAACTAAACCCTGGTATTTTCTATTCTCAACTCACTACCATCAAGTCAATTCTGACTTGTGGAGACCCTATAAGATAGGTTAGAACTGCCCTGTGTGTTTCTAAGTCCCATCTTTCCCTCTCTGAGCGCCTGTGGTTTCAAACTTTGGTTCACAGCCTAATGCATAACCATTTCGCCATCAGGGCACCTCTTTTCAATTGCCTCATATATATGTGAAATTTCAACAATATCATCCCTCATGCTACATTCTCTTCTGAGACCAGATTGAATTTTTGGCAGCTATATTGTTTCGATACACTGTTGTCATCACTGTTGAATTATCTAGAGAAAAATTGTACTTGCATTCAATATTAATGATAGTTTGATCATTTCTTCATTCTATTGGGAAACCTTCCTTTGGAATGAGCACAAACATGAATATCTTCCAGCCAACCGGCGAGGTCTTCCAAATGTCTTGCCATAAATGAATGAGTGCTTCCAGGTTTCATCAGCTTATTGAAACATTTCTTTAGGTCTTACACAATTTCTGGGGCCTTGTTCTTCGGCTAACACCTCCAATGCAGCTTGGATTTCTTTTGTACTATCAGTTCTTGATCAGATATGACTTGAAATATTTGAATGTCAACCCGTTCCTTTTGGTACAATTCCTCTGTGTATTCTTTCGATCTTCTTGTTGTGCTTCCTGCATCATTGAATATTTTGACCATAGAATCCTTCCATATTGCAACTTAAGAATTGCAATTTTTCTTCGGTTCTGCCAACCTTTGATATGCTGAGCACGTTCTTCTTTTTGGCTTTTTAACTTGAGAGTTTTGTACATTTTATTACGTTTTACTTTGTATTCTTGAGCTGCCCTTTGAAATGTTCTATTCAGTTCCTTTCCTTTAGCTACTACTCTAAATGAAGAATTATTGTCAGAATTCCCCTGACAGCCACTTTCAATGTTTCTGTCTTTCTTGCCTTTTAGCGGACCACTTACTTGTTTCATTCTGAGGCCCTAGATGGCATCCCCCAGTTCTTCCGGGTTCCGTCATTAGTGTTCAATGTGTCAAATCGGTTCTTGAGAGGTTCTCTAAGTGTAGGTGGTATGTACTCTAGGTCTTATTTTGGCTCGTCTGATCTTATTTTAAGCTTTTGCGGCTTCTACTTGAACTTTCATATGAGAAAGTGGTGGTCTGTTCCATAGTCAGTCCTTGGCCGGATTGGGTTGCTCCATCATTCCTTCCCAGCGATGTAGTCAATTTGATTCTTGTGCACTCTGTCTGGGGAGTTCCATGAGTAAAGTTGCCAGTTATGCTGTTGGAATATGAATTTGGGGTGAATAAATTATTGGTCTAGCAAAGTCTATTATTCTATCATCTTCAGCTTTGTTTCTATCACCAATACCATATTTTCCTCTTTGTTTACTATTCACTTCTTCCTCTTTGTTTCCAACTTTTACCTTCCAATAATTTTTAATTTCCAATAATTACCAATGTATCTTGATTGCATGTTTGATCAATTTCAGAGGAATAAATTGGTAGAATTGTTTAGTTTCTCCATCATTAGCTTTAGTTGTTGGTGTATAATTTGAATAAGTTGTATTCACTGGACTTCCTTGTGGGCTGGTGGATATGATCCTATCATAGACAGCACTATTCTTCAAGATCGACCTTGAAACACTCTTTTTGACTATGAAAGTGATGCCATCCCTCTTGAATTTGTCACTCACAATATAGTAAACCATACGATTATCTGGTTCAATATGGCTAATACCAGTCCAGTTCAGTTTACTAATGCCTATTAGTATAGGGATATCACTCTTTAGGCATTCCATTTCATTTTGATGAATTCCAGTTTCCTAGATTCATATTTCATACCCTTCACATCCTGGTTATTAATAGATGTTTTCAGTTGATTTTGTGTGTTTTATTCATATTTCATACACCCCACATTCTGGTTATTAATGGATGTTTACAATTTTGTGTGTGTGTGTGTGTGTTTGATTTTTGTGTGATGAGGCTATGCCTCATCAACAAATGACAACCCTGAAAGCTTTGCTCCATCCACACCGTGTGGTTGAATCTATAGTTTGGGGAAGGCAGTGCTTCCCTATTTGCATTTGGAAAGCCCTGCAACCAGAGAAAGTCACCTTCCAGCATGATACCTGACAGTATTCACTGCAACTCAAAACTTGAAAGTGACTAAGCCCCTCGAAGTGGACAGCCTATTTTCTTCACCTTCTGCCCTTATTCTGGAAGCTCCACTAAAACCTCTTCACCTTGGGTGAGCCTGGGGCATCGTGAACACTGATGGCATAGCTTCCAGCACCACTGCAACACAGAAGCCCCTGCAGTGAGACATACGGACAGACAAGTATTGGGTTTATAAATTCCTATGTGCACTAGGAATTGGATAATAGAAATGGCTCGCATTCCACTAAACTGCTAAACACAAGGTGGGTGGAAGCAATTTGCTCCTGTAAAGTTTTGCAGTTTCTGAAATCTTAGGGAGCGGTTCTACTCTGCCCTTTAGGATTGCCCTTCAGGAGCCAGAATCTGCTCAATGCAGTTGGTTTGATTTTAGGTTTGTAACTAATGAAAAGGTTAGCTGATAAGATCCACCCAGCAGATCTCATAACAGTTGCCTGGTGATCTGCTTCTGAAAGATTATATTCAAGAGAATCCAATGAAGCTCAGGCTTATTGTTATATATGGTGTCTCCTTGAGAAGAACTAATGAGACACAAAAAGTTTAGTTTAACATGAATTACAAAAATTTTATTGTTTGAAAATGTAAATGCTGCGAAACGGTAGCATGTCTATGTATACAACAACTCCTACAAATAGAAATGGCTTTTAAATGCTATCAAACTAATGGCTAATAAATAAATAATGTCACCCACAAACATTAAAATTTTCGGCATGCTTTTCTCATTGTTTAAGATAGATTTAGTTTGATCATTTGTATATTTCAAAAAATATTTATCAGATGTCATGCTTAACCTTTGTTTGGCTTCTCAGTGTATACATTGTGTCTGAAATGTATGCTCTAATAAATATATAAAATATTTTAAAGTAAATGATGCTTTTACATTCCAACTTCAATGCCTCTTTGTTCTTCTAGGTGGCCTTTACAGTCCTCTTTGATTTGGAAGCTCTTCTGAAGATTTGGTGTTTGGGGTTTACCGGCTACATTAGCTCGTCACTTCACAAGTTCGAGCTCCTCCTTGTGATTGGAACCACCCTTCATGTTTATCCGGACCTTTATCACTCCCAATTCACCTACTTTCAGGTAATACAAATGATACTTATTTGTCTTCAGAAAATTGTTTTTTTCTTTTCAGGGTAAACAGTCAACACACTTTAATAAATATATAATTTTTTATGAACTAACTACGGAATCCATGGGTGGTGCAAATGATAAAAGTACTTGAGTGCTAATGGAAAAGTTACAGGTTTGAGTTCACCCAAGTACCTTGTAAGAAAGGCGGAGAAGTCTACTTCTGAAAAGCCAGTGACAGAACATCTGCAGTGTTTGGCTTTCTCTGACACTTTATTAACTTGAGGGCTGCTGGTAAAATAACCTGTAGTAAACATGAACCTGTGATTGCAACAAGGAGAACCATGCATAATGAACCACAGATGTTACTTCGGTTCAGCTGTGTTCATGCTTGATGATGATGGTGATGATGATGATCTCTGTTGTTGTTAAGTGCTGTCGAGTTAGTTTTGATTCATATTGACCCAATGTCCAACAGAACAGAGCACCACGGGGTTCTGGGCCTTCCTCACAATTGTTCTTATGTTTGAGCCCATGGTTGTAGCCATTGTGTGAATTAACCTTGTCAAGAGCATTCCTCTTTTTCACTTCTCCATTGAGGTAGTTAGTTTATTGGGCCAACCTGGCGGATAAACACATGTGGGATTAATTGAAGGGAGGAGGGATAAATGGCTAGGTGAGCCTTACCTTTCTAGTTCTCAGGTCACTTGCTTTGTAATGGTCGGACCAGGGTGCAGCCTCCTTAACCAGTTCCCTGCTCCAGCTGATAAGGCTCACTTCCTGCAAGACATCCCTGAGGAGAAGCAGCATGGACCTGCCCCGATGCAGCCCTGGGGCTGGAGCAGCCGTGTGGAGACCCCTGGCAGCGCTGAGATGCTTACAAATTCACTGATTCGGCTTTCCCTCTGAGGTTGGCATCATTGCGTGTGTTTTGTGAGATCGGGGAGGACTTTGTGGATTGGTGTCAGACATATGGGTTATAGTTGGACTTGTGGGCTGGGGCAGCACTAGGTTGAGATGTTTTCTTGATGAGCACTTAACCTTTATATAAAACTCTCTCTTATACATGGATTTCTGTGAATTTGTTTCTCTAATGTACCCAGACTAACACATCCATTTACCAAGCATGATGTCCTTCTCCAAGGACTGGTCTCTCTTGATAACAATGATGATCTTTAGGCTTATTTAATTGCCACAACTATTTCTAATAGCCTTGGGAAATTAATAGTAACTAAAACATTTTACTTACTGTTTCAAAATTTATGTTGTTGCTGTTGTTCTTTTATAAATGGTTGGCATTTAGTTGATTCCTATTCACACCTGACCTTGTAGTAAAGAGTAGGATTACACGTTAGGGTTCCTGAGAAACAAACTCTTGACAGAAGCAGACCTCACATAACTCTCCCACAGAGCACCTGGTGGGTTCTACCTCCTGACCTCCAGGTTAACAGCCAGGCGCTAAACTAATGCAACACTAGGGAGCTTTTCACTTTATATACTGTTTCTAAAATAGCAGATGTTTTATTAATATATGGCTAGCATATGTCTATGCTCATTAGCAAATTTTGTACTTAATAAAGATGTTGGCACATGTTGCTAAGAGTAGAAATGGAGTAATTAATATTGTCCATGTTATCTAAAGGTTCTAATATCCATTGCAGAGTCGACACAAAACTTGGAAGACAAAATTCATGATTAAAGAATTTAGTAGTGAAGTTAAGAAGTTATAATTCCACTGAGAAATGCTCGGGTTTGAACTATTTATGGGGATGTTACACAGTTCTGATAAGTCTGTTTACGAATGCCCAAAGGGCATATTGCTTTACTATAAACCTCAGCCTGAAGGCATTCAGCTGAAGCTCCTTGGGTCATGAACCCTGGTTCTTGAATTAAGGGCCCAGAGGCCCCCTGGTCCTCAAGCCAGCTTCCTGCAGGAAAGCAGTCCGCTTTGCTTGCTCCCGGGGTTGGGAAGTCCAACACTTTGTCCCATGCTCTGGGCCTTGGTTCTGCGTTGGCTCCTCTAATGGGACAGCTGTCTGTTGGATCCAGAAGGTTCGCTATGCAGGGATCTCAGGTCTAGAGGACTCTATCCACTCCTAGCTCTGGCTGATAATGAGATCCATCTTTCTGCTTCTCAGATGGCTCATTTATACCCAATAGGATGCCAGTACAGGAAATCCTATTCATAATGACTAACAGGTGAATCCTCTCAGTATCTTTCCCCGCTTGCAGGAAGGTCATTTGCTGGGAGTGAGGACTTTGGCTAGAAGAGCCGCATTAAAGAATGCAAGACCCCTGCAGTCATTTAAAAATATTTTATAGAAAATGTTTTCAATTGTTTATAAATATTTCTTTGTGATTATTAAATAGCTTTATTAAACATACTTTCTTTGTATTAAATAGCTATGCTATGATTCTTATTTTATAGAATTGAGTATTTTTTCAAATATGACATGGTTTATGGCACATTTATAAGTACTGATGTCATCAATTAATATGGCCCATCTAGTCATAGCTCCTTGTGTAGTGTATTATAGCCTGCGACTATACCCTCATTTTGGAGGGTGTGCTCTACTGGAGGAGCCCTAGTCATGGTCTAGTTGCTACTTGTTGGGCCACTAACCACAAGGTCATCAGTTCCAGACCACCAGCTACTCCATGGGGGAAAGACAAGCTTTCTACTTCCGTAAAGAGTTCTAATTCTTCCCCCCACCCTCCTCTCTTTCTTTATTCAATCTTTTTTTTTTTCTTTTTGTTTGGTCTCTGCTCTTTTGGTTTGCCTACCTATATAAAATAGGTATGGGGAGCAAGCCCGAGGAGAAAGCAGCGGGAATGACGGCTCCAGAGGGAGAAGAGGTGGGAATGGAGCAGTGAGCAAACAATGCCATAGATAGAAGAACAACTGGGGAATTAAAATCCACAACAAGGAGGACATAGAGCTCCTGGGGGTGTTGGAGCAACAGCCATCTCGCTGAGCGGAATTACTAAGAAGCAGAAGAAGGGCGAGTGTGATGGTGGGGCAGGAGGAAGGTAAAAGGAAACAGAGGGAAGATCTAGGAAGCAAAGCTATGGATAGAGGTATAAAAATAGGTGTGTCCATATATAAATACATTAAATCATAAAAATAGAGGCATTGGCTTATGTATATATATTTATATGGCAATATACTAAGGTAGTGGGTGGACTTTGGGTCTCTGCTCAAGCCCTCCCTCAATGTGAGAACACTTTGTTCTAACAACTTGGCATTCTGTGATGCTTACCTTCCCAGCACGATTATTGAAAACAAAATGGGTGCATAAGCAAATGTGGTGAAGAAAGCTGATGGTGCCCAACTATTAAAAGATATGGCATCTGGAGTCTCGAAGGCTTGAAGTGAAACAAGGGCCATCTAGCAGAGAAGCAACAAGCCCACCTGGAAGAAGCACACCAGCCATACCTGCCTGTGTGATCATGAGGTGTCAACGGGATCGGTTAACAGGCATAAGAAGACCCAAAACAAACAAAAAACATAGTGTTGAGAATGAGGGGGGTCGGAGCAGAGATGCAAAATCCATCTGTAGACAATGGGCCATTCCCTCACAGAAGGTCACAAGGAAGGGATGAGTCAACCAGGGCGCAGTGTAGCACCAGTGAAACACACAGTATTCCTCTGGTTCCTTGAGACTCTCTCTCTCTCTCTCTCTCTTTCTCTCTCTCTCTCTCTCTCTCTATCACACACACACACACACACACCACTATCATGTCCCCAGTCTGTCCTTTTACTGCAGGCTAGACTAGAGCAGGTACACAGGTACAGATAAAAGATAAGATCTCCCATCACATGGAATCCAGGAACAGGAATGGAGTAGTGATACCAGGAAAGTAGGGAAAGGGGAGTGGGGAGGAACGGGGAACTGATGGTAAGGATCAACACATAACCACACACACACCCCACCCCCACCCAGGGAGGTGAACAACAGAAGCCATAGGAGAAGGGAAAAAGTGGTTGGTGTAAGATATGAAAATAATAATTTATAATTTATCAAGGGGTCATGAGGGTGGAGGGAGGGAGTGAAAAAAGAGCTGATACCAAGGGCTCAATAGAAAGTAAATGTTTAGAAAATGATAGCAACATATGTACAAATATGGTTGATACAATTGATGTATGGATTGTTAATAGGAGCTGTAAAAAAACCCAATAAAATGATCTTTTAATAAAAAACAAAAATTACAGTCTTGGGAGCCCACAGGGAAGTTCGGCCCTGTTCTATAGGTTGTTATGAATTGGATTCGATGCCAGGGCCGTGGAGCAGAAAGATGGGGATTTCTACTTCTGTGTGGATTTACAGTCCTGGAAACCATAGAGTTCTACCCTGTACTGTAGGGTGACTATGAGTGGGCTTGACTCAATGGCAGTGAGTTTGTTTTGTTTTGGTTTGGTTGCTGATTGATGGAATTAGAGTCAGATTAAGACCTGATTGTAATAGAGGACGTGAACCAAGCCACACCATTTGTTTCCTTAGGGATATCTTTCTACTTTACTGGAAGTTGTGACTTAAGACATATCCTTTTTTTCCCTTCTGGGTATGGTCTACTAAAAGACAAACTACACGGCCAAAGCATTCCTCACTGTATAAGAGCAACCTGGGACACAAAGAGAAATCACAAAACCATTTGGAAGAGCTGAGACTGTGGGATCATAGGACTGGGTGACAGGCGGTCTGGCTCTTGGCCCATGGAGGCAAAGACCAAGGGACAGCATGGCTGAGAGACTGAGGACCAAGGGAAGATGTGACTGCTAGTTCAAGAGTGGTATTTCTGTGGACAATGTTAACTGTTTGCTCATCCTGACTGGTGATGGCTTATTAACCTGCCTAGTGAACTCCCTTGATTATGAGTAGTGTCTGTGTGCTTGGTGTGGCCATTGTAACAAATTAGTGAATCCAGCATAGAAATAGAGTACCATGGGAGGAATAAGTTAAAGGAAGTAAAGGCATGTCTGACTCTTGCCTCCCAGTAATAGAGAAGCCAGA